TCTGTGTGTGTGTGTGTGTGTGTGTGTGCATGTGTGTGTGTGTGTGTGTGTGTGCATGTGTGTGAGATAACTTTGAGATAATTATGAGTTGGAAACATGTAGATTAAGATAAAAAGAGACTACTCTGGGGCATTCAACCAAACTTTGAATTTCTTCTAGAAACCTCCTCTCAAGTCACAGTCAAGAGATCCAGCAATTGTGAAATCACTCTCTTCGAATGCATACCACTTCACTTTTGGTAGCTCTTTCTGTTGAATAAATGACGCTATATATAATGGACACTCGATCATTCTAGTGTTTTCTGTGCAAATGTGTAGAAAAAAGGGCTTGGGGGTATGAAGTCAGGGTAGATAGGCTGAAAGATTATTTTATTTACATTTTTCAGGATGACAATTTGGTCCTATAATGCTTGTGTGATTTACAATATGAAGATTAGACATATAAGTTGAAAAGTGCATCAAAACCTGAAAAATTAATTTGCAAACATTTTGTGTTATAGTTGGAGTTATGAATGTTACTGTCTGAAGATTCTTCTTGAGCATTACCAATTCTACTTGTGCTTCGTTTTCTTCTTATTTGAACTAAACTTTGTACAGTTTATATTTGACAGATAAACATTTACACTGAGGAAGCAGATTGAATAAAATATAGATATTTAAGTTAATTTAAAACGTAAATTTTATCTTATTTTTGAATGGGGTCTTGACTGAATCCTGTAAACTGTAGCTGGTGTTTTTACTGCCTTGGTGTAAGCTGTGTAGTCAAAAGAACAGTGGGAATGGTCACTGTGTGTGGATATTGTTGTTCCTGAGGTTAATTCTGGAAAAGTCCCCTGTCCTAGGCAGCTGCTAACCAAAGGATCTTCCGGAAATGCTCTCCCAAACCACTGCCCATTGGGTATCAAACGCAGTATCTATTTTAGAGAAAATTATTGCATCAGATTAAAAAATGGTTAAATTGTTTTAACATGCCTGGATCTTATCTTTTCATGAAAACATTTTTTATTAACTTTTTTTTTTTTTTTTATGGAGGACAACTGCTCTTCAGATTTTTCCCATGAGAACTGAAGATTAAACTTTGATTTTTATCCTTTTATCCTCCCAGACAGAAGCTGTATGTTTTGATGATAACCACTGGTTAAAAGCAAAATAACCATAAATAAACACACATACCTTAGAATGAATGAGCGTTTCTGGTATAGTCTTAGATTTCACAGCGTCAGACTGACCAGGTTGAGAAAGCCACCAGAACCCCATAGCTCAAAGTTCAGGTTTTATACAAGATTTATATGTCCCGTAGAATATTTTGTTTGCTGCAGTTTGAAAAGAGTATCTTCTCTAGGAAACTAATGTTTAACAGATAAGTGCAACCAGATTGTATAACAGGAGCTGGAGGGGAAAATTTCACCATTTTGAATGGGGTTTGTGTTTACCAGTACACAAAATGTATGATTATATTATCGGTTGTGTGAAAATACCTATAATTTTTAGAAAGGTAAAACCCATGTTTGCCAAGAAAATCAATTTTTTCC